CGCCGCCGCCTCCGCCGTCTCCTCCTCCTCCTCCTCCCGCGGGGAGCCCTGGCCCTGCCCAGCCCCGCACACCTCCTCCCTGCCCTGCCCTGCCCTGCCCAGGGAGCCTCTCCCCTCGCCACCTCACCAGCCCGGAGACGTGTCACCGCCAATGCCACGGAAAAAGCCTGCACGCCAGAGCGCCACGGCCGTGCCAGCGTTACCACCGGGCAGCCGTGATCTGCAAGCATCAGCTTCGCCCGACTCTTGCCCCCCCACAAGCAAGGGCTCGCCTGCCAGCTTAGTGAAGGCCTGAGATCTCATCTCCCCGCTGTGATGAAATGGGAGTCCGGGCGCGCGTGTATAAGGGACCGACAAGACAACTCCGTCGATGAACGGCAGAGAGGCTGTGTTTACTGCAAGCATTCGCTGTTAAATGGGCCTGAAGCAAAGCAAAGTCCAGTGTATTTAGCTGTAAAAGTAAGAGTGTCTCACCAATTCAGGTAGTATTAAGACTACTGAGGTAGTCTCAGCCTTGCCAGCGTCTCAAGACGTGGATCCGTCCGGGTGCAGCAGCAGTTCTTGTGTTGGTGATTTCTCACTTTTGGAGCACGCCCTGTTGGCCACTTTGTTCCTCTATAAAACCTTTGGTTCCTCTATAAAGCCTACTAGCTGCTTCATTCAGTATAAAACCTTTCAGCTCAGGATCTTCAAAGCATTCTTGTAGTTTGTGTAAATCAAGACAGAAACCCAAGCAATAATTAACAGGCAAATCCTATTAATCAAACTGTTCATTATTGGTTATCAGAAAGTCCCAATTTTGATTGAATTCCTCAGGAACCGGAAGTTATGAATTTCTACTGAGTTGGGACCTGTCGAGAAATGGATTAGCAAACAGGAAAAGCACAAAGTTTCTGAAGAGTCGTCCAAGGGAACCACTGAGGCAAAACAAGAGTAAATCAGAAGACACCTATCAAGCCCCATGTGGAGTATGTCTCTTCCTGCACATAAACACAATTTAATTGCAAATAAATATTTCCTACAATAATTAATCAGGAGTTGACATTTCACACAGTCACATACCAGACACATAGGAGCCTGCTTAAAATCCTCATAGGCATAGTAAAATAAGCTGGAAATGATGCCTCATTATTTCTTTTCAGAAGGCCCAGCTGCAAACTTACATCCTCTTGCACTATGCAACGGGCATTAATATTTTGTTTTATAACTTTTGTGAGTAGGCCCAGCTCAGCTTCAGCTTCACAGTCACCAGTGGCAGCCAGAGGAAGCACTGCAAGGACATGTTAAGGCATCAAGAAAACAGATGCCAACATCAAGAGCTGGGAGGAGCTGGCTGCTGACCCACTCCAATAAGCCGCAACTTCAACCAAGCAGCAGCTTGCTTCGAGGTGAGGCGAGAGCGTGGAGGAAGCACGAAGGAAAAGAACGGGGATCCCAGCCTGCAACCTACTTTCCCCTATGGAAAGACCTGCATCTTATGTGGACAGATTGGTGGCTCAAGGTTTGGACTCTTAAGTCATCTCAAGACCGTCACTGAGCTTTGGGAGAGATCATCCTCAAATTGAGGGATTGCCAACAATGCCTTTCATGCTGGAGAAAACTGAAAAGCAAACAAGCCCTGTTTTTGGAATGGGAAGCTGGCCTGGAGGCTTCGCCTAAAAGTGAGGCTGGGGTACAACTTACCCACGCAACCATGGGCAGATCTAGAAGAGGGGTGTAGATCATGGACTCATAAAAAATTAGGATTGGAAGGGACCTCAGGGAATCATCTAGTCCAACCCCTGCTCAGCACAGAACCATCCCCAACTAGATGATCCCAGGCAGGGCTTTGTTGCGCTGAGTCTTAAAAACCTCCAAGGATGGAGCTTTCACAGCCTCTCCAGGTAACCCGTTCCAGTGCTTTACCACCCTCCTCAAGAAAAAGCTTTTCCTAATATCTAACCTCAGCTTTCCTTGCTGCAACTTGAGACTGTTGCTCCTTGTTTTGTCATCTGCCACCGCTGAGACCAGTCCAGCTCCACCCTCTTTCAAACCCTGTTTCAGGGAGTTGAAGGCTGCTATTCAATCCCCCTCAGTCTTCTCTTCTCCAAACCAAATAAACCCAGTTCCCTCAGCCTCTCCTCAGAAGTCATGTCCCCCAGCTGGTACACCCAGGGGTGGGCGAGTGCTTGGTGTGAAGCAGTGTGTCTGTGTGAGGCATCAGAGAGCAGAGGGCATAGCTCAGGAAATGTGGCTTCAACAGCCTGGGGAGAGCTTTTGGGCTGAGTGCTGGCTGAGAAGGGGCTGGGAGCATCTCCTGCTGCCTGATTCCACTTGTGTTCTGGTAAAACAGGGCCGTGTGCCCTCTTTCAAACGAATTCCTCAGGGAATTGCCCCTCACCCAGACCCTCAGTTCTTTCCCTGGCTAGGGCAGGGTCAGTCAACCCCAGGGAAGGAATTTCCTCCACTGCAGGATCTAAATATGACAGTACTCAGCTAATTACTAATAACCACAGCAGAGACCCAGCGCTCCGTGCCCTGCACCTGCTCTGTCAGCTCCCATCTTCTCATGCCCTCATGCCTGCCACCTACCCCCACAGTGACTGGCATGCTTGTCTAACCTCATGCCAATAATGAAAACCATCCTTGGCCACCACCACCCAGATCCTCACCAAATTATACTCTCACCTATTGTGGCAGACAACATCGATCCCCAACATTGCCAACTTGCACTCTTCAAAAACATCACACTATATATGGAGGCCAATTCACACCCCATTGTGTGCCACAATGCCTGGGATGACCCTGCTCCCTCTGCTCGGCCTCCCGCCCCAGTTGCTCAAATATTCTGTTACTTGCTTTTATACATGCTAGGAATTTGGATCTCTCCCCTGCTGCAATCTCTAACCTACTATTGGGGACTTTGCACCTCTATAGACCCGTCTGCCTCCTCTCCCATCCTGGAAAGGATGAATGATTAACTGAGGGAGTGGGGGAACATGGGACAACCTCTCTTGGATGAATGCTCCAGGGGCACATATTGTTCATGGAGCTGCACATGTTGCTCAGTGTTTAAAGGAGAGTTATCCTTTCTTGTCATCACATTTTTGTAGGGTTTCTCTGCAGGCTAAATTCCACTTTGGGGAATGCGGTTCTCTCTGTAGATCCAGTTCTTGTCTTAGTGTTATGAAGCATTGTTGGGTATTGTTGAAATGCAGCTGTCTCTGCTTCTGTCTTCCATGCAGAGACAGCTGCATTTCACTGTTGAATGGGCTGCGCGATCCCTGCATACATTGCTTTGACTCCGCTTACAAAAATCTGTGTTATAGTGGGGGGGTGCAGAGGAACAAATTATATAAACATTGCCCATTTTTTTTATCATAATTGCATTCATCAAAGGTCACGGTCATATTTTATCTGAATTTTTAATAGTCTGAATAGAAATGAAGATACATGGTTTTCAACAGCAGCCTGAACTCTGGCCAAAGCATCTGTTTTTGAAGGCATGGGCATTACCAATAAGGTTAGGTTGTTTTTCTTTTCACAAATGTGGATTCAGTACTGATGAAAAATACTGGATCAGGAGCCTTGGTAGCTGAAATCCTCTTGTTAGTAGCAGACTTGACACAAGTGTGGAGAGCAGCAGTGCTAGTTTCTCCGACCGCCGTACCTTGCCTGTCCCCAGGAGCGATTATTTATGGAAATGAAAGAACATGTTATCCTCCAACTTAATTTCATCATTGGTTTCCCTTCAAAGCTAGTCAGCCAGCAGGAGCCAGTCGTGGTGATTCTTGTGATATCAGACCCTAGCCACCCAGGATACGAGCAGGATCACACAGAAGGATCCCAGATTTTGGTAGGTTCCCTGAATCTAGCCAAATACAAAATATCCTCAGCTTTATGATTACATTTAGAGCACCGCATCCAGAGCTGGTGTTCAATTATTGTGAATTTTGTGCCTGAAAGCTTGTAAAGAACATTTTTTCCAACTATTTAGTTGGTCTAATAAAAGATATCACATTGACCCAAAGAATTTTGTCTGACTATATCCTTAGACTACACGGCTACAACCATCACCCTCCAGAACTTGAGTCCTTCTACCATTTTTTAAAATAAAATTTGAAAGCACATATACAGAAAGCATGGTACTGCTTGGACAAATATGAGTTTCGAATGGCTGCCTTGGTTATGTGGAGGTCTGATTCAAAAATCGAATTTCCATTCCCTGGGAAAACCTGCAATCTGGTTTCATCCAAAATCAGGATAAGTCAACATCTCAGCATTTCTCATGAAACAAAATATTTTGTTTGGATTTTATTGCAGCTTTCTTTTTTTGGATCGTTTTGACTAACTGATCTGATAGGGGAGGCAGACTACTTTGTACTGTATTACCCATACAAGTCAAAGCAAAATGCTTTAACCTTATAGGGGACAAAAAAAGACATTTTGACCTTATCAAAATGAAACATTTTGATCATTTTCCACTGAATGCTGATGAAGTCAGTAAGTTCCCGTGATACATGTTGATTCTTTTAAGTCAACATTTTCTGGCTAAAAAAATGTTTCAGCAGAAAATCTTCAGTCTGCTCAATCCATAAGCGATGAATTCCTCAAGATCTTTACAAATGAAAGCAATAAAGCTTTTACACAATATAAACTCAGCTGTGCTGAGAAACAGAGATAATTAGACCAGATGCAGCACATGCAGCTACACAGTTTCTGGTTCAAGAGATAGTGTGTGTAGGTAGCATGCTTAAGTTGCTGCCTAGCATAAGTTTGAGGTGAGGCTAGGCCCTGAAGCCATCACTGAAAGCCGGGCTTTGGCTATCAAGTCAATTAGGGGGATGCATGGACAATTCCACGCCTAAACAGGGATTTATGTAGTGCTTTTCAGCCATACATCTCTAAGTGCTTTGCAAAGAATGTATGTATCAATATTCCCAACATGCAGGGCATGTCTTTGTGTGCACTTA